TTCCTAAGGTTTCCGAGGCTCTACATGAGTAGATTGTCCAATCTTCCTTCTGAGGAGTGGCTGGTGGGTTTGAACCACCAGCCTTCTGGTTAGCAGTCAAATGCCTTAGGCAGTATGCCACCACTGCTCCCTCATAGAAAACAGCAAGTGCAAAGGCATTAAGGAAAGAGCACTTAAGGTGCAGCAAGGAGCCTGGGATGAAATTGAGTCAGAAGTCATGCAGCGGGAGGGTAGAAAGATCAGAGAGGCTGTTAGGATTATAATTTCCAGCATAGGAGTGACATGGATTTAACAGGATCTGTCTAGCTGCTGGATTGCATTAAGACCATATGACAGCAAGGACAGAAGTCTTCGGCCTCAATCATCCTTCTTCCAAGTTTCTGGAATAGTTGCAAGGAAAGCAAGTTTTTCTAACTCATGCAACAACCAAAGAAACAAGAGAAAAACTATTAAAAGACTTAAGCATTTTATTTTCCCTCAAACTATGTTTCTGCCATCAGGTTTCGGTCTTTTTGCAGGTTAGGGTTAAAGCACCTAAGTACTTCAATGACAAAAGATAACAAGGTTCATTTGTTTAATAGACATTTATTCCTTTAGATGAACAACCTCTACACACAATCAGAATGTAGTCTTAAGATTTTTTAGTAGAAAGGAATTTAGAAGCCAAGGTTTTATGAAGCTGCTACAAATTTTTCTGGGAATCTACGGAGCCTTTTGAGACCCCAAAATATGGGGGACATTGGTTCAAGGAAACCAGCCATCAGATCGTGAAATCAAACTACCTATTGTCAGCAAACTCAGAATTTAATTTGGGCAATTCTTACTTCTACACAAATTCATCCTGGGAAACAAAAAACCCAGGCTAGATGTCATGTAATAAATGCAAGAATATGTGGTTGTATGCTTAAAAGGTGGGCACACGATGGGCTATCAAGTTTGTGGAATCATTAAATTTTTAAAGGCAGTTTGATGTGGGATGAGTATACTGCAGAGGGACACCTGTCAGGTTGGAAACCAAAATCTATATTGCCACCAAGTATGATTTCCCGTAGTAGCCTTATAAGGCTGATGGGACTTAACAGTGATGTAGTTTTAGAGTCAATCATATTCTTTCCCTAAGGCTAGAGGCTTAATGGTCACTAATAAGCTTTACAGCTAAAACACTTCAAACTCTTGATTAAAGCAGCTTTTCCTCAAATACCTGAAAGCTACAATGACCAAAAGACCCAAAAGACCTAACTTCCCACCTGAGCTTTCAAATCTCAAGGTTAAAATAATTTTGTCTGGTTTACATCCTAATATTCAATTTCCATCAGTTCTGATATAGTGAAGTCATGTAAATACCTCTACTTTGCATCCAATCTAGGATTCTCATATCCCAGTAACGTTAGCATGGGATTGTATAAACTTGCCTTTTATGCCAGTTTGAATGATACTGTGGAGACCAAGGCAATTTTGTTTAGGTTGGCAACCCAGATTTGTTTCATTTGTAAGAGAACCCTCTTAAAGCATTTAGTCTTCTAAAAACGGTGGCACTTTTTCCTTTCAGATTCTGTGGTTACATAAATAGTGGATTAATATAAAAATGTGGACCCTAGTTGACCCTCATTACTTTTCTATGTATGACATGACAACAGGCTAGGATAGTCTCCTCCTACCTTACAAATTCCCAATCAAAATACAACTTAAAAAGTTGGTCCCAATTTCTGTACCCACCCCCCAAAAACCCAGCTACTTGAGGTCAAAACAGCAGAGCATTGCATCACCCCAGAAAAGCTGTAGTTTTTAGTACATGCACCAAAGTCTACAGAAAAAGCTAATTCCAACGTCCCTCTCTCTAAGGAATTTATTTTACCTATTTTAGCATACAGTATGTCATTTTAAACACTGACATAACTCTCTAATAAGATAAAGCAAAGACAAAAGCATTTACCTTATTAGAAACAAGATACACTATCACTTATTGTCTTCAAACATTATTGCACTTTTACTTTCATAATGTGACAATGCATTCATGAAACAATCTGCAGACAACTACTGTTTTTTAACAGACAAAATTAAAGAACACTTTTAAGTAGACGTTGACTGTCCTAAACTGTTTATTAGGTATGAATTTTACAAACATTACTTTTATATTAGCGGTAACGGTGGAGCTGGAGAGTGTTGCGCCTTCTCCAAGCAGCACGACGAGAACCACCAATAGTGTGGTGGAACTTGTGGCCCTTCCCAAGGCCACGGCTCTTGCGGCCTGCAGACGTCAGGCCACGCATCTCCCTGTGCTTGTGGACTGGCTTGGTGATCCACTGGGTGTCAGGGTTTCTTCTGATAGCTTTATGGAATGGATCAATGAGAATAACTTCAAAGAATTTGTATGTGGAATCTTCACCAACCCAGTAAGAATTCAGGACTCTCAGGGCCCCACAGTGGCGTCCAGCTCGCTCCTAGAATGGGAAAAAAGGTCCAAAGTCAGCCTCTCACACTTCCCGTAATAACAAATTAGGAAGCCAGAAGCCTAACTCTTAACTCTTAATTCACCACTGGACAAGAGACTAAGGCTGTCCAGTTACCTATTCAAGCCAAAAGAATGGCATTTAAGTAGGGTGAGGTAGAACTGCTACACACATAAATACTTAGATTGATCTGAAACACACCATTCTTTTTGATTATTAGCTCAATAAAGGCATTATTATTTAAGATTTGGCTAAGAAAGTTTAGGATTCTCGAACATTAGAAGAAAGGTCAGTAAACTTTTTAAGCTTTACAGGCTTCATTCAATCTATTTGCACATTTTACTTGCCTTAAAAAAATAACAATAAAAGAAAACATAAAAAGATAAAACTGAAGGCATCTGACTGCTAACCAGGAGGCTGGTGGTTCAAACCCACCAGCCAGCCACTCCTCGATTGGGCAATCTGCTTCCGCAAGAGATACTGCCTTGGAAACCCAAGGATGGGTTGCTACGAGTGGGGATCGACTCAACAGCATTTTTTATTTTTTTTTTAATGTAGTGAGAGCCCATCAGACCTAGTTTGCCAAACCTTAAAATACAACATAATATCCCAAACCAGACCAAAACACCTACAACATGAACACATAGCTATATACAATTCAGATGTGCTCTTCCAAGACAAAATCTCCTGCCCTTCAAGAGCTTAGGTTCCACAGGTTCTTATTAATCATAAAACACACACATTTTAATATATATATATATAAAACAACCAGACACTAGTCAACAAAGACTGACAAAGTCTTCATATACTGACAGCAAATGAGCCTTACCAAAATTAGGAAAGCTCAAGACTCTATTTTATACACAGTAGGACTCACTTAAGTAAACAGTGACAAAAGTTGCTCAAATCCTTCTCTCCCACCATCCCAAGTAGGTGACAACTGTAACTGGTACAGGCAATTTTGGGGTTATAACCACCAACTTAACAGACTTTACTACAAACCCAGTTATATCTTAACCCCCAAGTTAAACGTTTGAGGTACATACACAATGGTTCATAATCACAACAGGTGCTGCAGCATACATCAAAGTGTTATTACTGTTATGCTAAAGATGTTTTAAGGGTGTCTGTTTTTGTATGCATGGAAAGGTACCCTATACAATAAGACAAACATTTGACTACTATTAGATACGAACCATGGCAAAATATCCCAACTTCCTTGGACTTAGAATGAAATTTGTTGGTAATTCAGGCCTACCTGTATTCAAAATAAAAACCACTTACCTCAGCAACAGACTGAAGGCTTCGAGCAAACTTCAATTGGTTCACACCATGATGGACAGGCTTGCCATAGGTTGCACCCTTAGGTACTGGCCGTTTGCGTCCACCACGGCGCACACGAATCCGATAAATGACATAACCTATGCAGAAAAATGAGAATGGTTTTATGGGTGAAAGACTCAATGCTTTAATGCTAGGCAAAAATGAAAACAGAAGTACTTTCTATCACTGAATTGACAAAAATCTACAAAAAGGTAAATCAATTTCTCACTTCCTCTGTATTTTGCTTTTATTCCTGACTCTCACAGATTTGTAATCTTCGACACACTTGCTACATTAGCTGTAATTTACTAGTCAACAAATTCTGTCCACTTCTTACTAAAAAAATTTCGGCCAAAGGCTTTTTGAAAAGGAAGACAGTGCCTCGTCCTAATTGCCAGTTCCTCACTTTTCTGAACGAATATAATTTCATGCGTCCAGGCAAAAGAAACCACGCACCTTGCTTGGCCTTGTATCCCAGTCTGCGCGCCTTATCTGGCCGGGTGGGACGGGGGGCCCTGTGCAGCGCAGAGAGCTGGCGGTACTGCCAGCAGCGGACCCTCAGAAGAAAGCGCATCACATCAGATTGCTTCTTTCTCCACAGTTCCTGGATATACTTGTAAGCACCCATCTTGGCTTACCTTTGACATAAAACTATGTATTAAAAAACATGTTTAATGTATAAAGGGAAGACCCTTCCGTCCATCTTAGTTCCTCATCACACTCAAGGAAACTACTGGGAATGAAAATGGCTCTGCCACCAACTGCAGGGCGGAACTAGCCCGACTCCCACCCCAGCATCCCTGAAGAGCAGCGTTCGTTCAAGTCATCTCTGCACCTCAGCGCTGAGCAGCGACTGGGCGCAGGGAGGCACTGTGAGTATTTTCCTTGGACCAATGAACCGAGCCCCGGGCCATGAGGGGGCGGGTGACTGCGGCAGGAGGCTTCCCCAAGGCCCGGCCTGTAAGGAGACCACGCCGACACTATCGCAAAAGGTGCTGCTGAACCGCCAAAAATTAACTCTCAAGGAAAAAGCACTTACCCCACCCGCGCTTCTAGGGGCTCCAGGCCCAGCCTCCCATCCCCCAGCTCCACGCCTCCCGCTCCTTCGTGATCCGGGCCCAGCTCGTATTCGCGCCGCCATCCCATTTTCCCTCAGCCTGCCTGTCTACGTCCACGCCGCCCCGCATCCTGACCAAGCTCGGGGCGCACAGTAGGAAAGAGGGGCTCCGAGGACCCAGGGTCCTCGAACCTGGATGGCTGAGGCAAAAGGCGATCAGCAGCGGATAAAAGAGCAAACGTTACCCTCACAGCCTACCTGATGGCTGCCACCAGAAGGAAAGGAAGGCTATCTCCCACAATCCCTTTTGGGCTCCTCCCCCAATGCAGAGACTTTTTCCGGTGGGAGGCTGAGGCCGCCTAGAGCTTCATGGGCTATGTAGTTCGGGCTGTGAGTCTGGTGGGCGAACCTCTGTCGGGATTGGGCGCAGCTTCTTCCCCTATTGTCCCGCCCCCTGCTCCGCAGAATTCGAGCCTGAGAGGCAGTGGTAACCCAGAGGGAGCGGGTCGGTGGCGAGGCCTCGGCACGCGAGGGTCCAGGACATTCCCTCCGCCGGGAGGAGGCAAGTTGGGGGTGGGACCTAAAGGACGCGGACCGCCTTCGGGCCGTGCAGCCTGTGCGCAGATGTCTTCGGGGTGCACGGCGGTCCTTGGCGGTGTACGGGGTTTTGATTCACGCACTGCGAGCTTCTCACCTGACCGGTGGCTGAGGCTTCCCCCAGGCAGTGCTGTCTGCCCACTGCGAAGGGCGTCGAAATCTGGGCCCCGACGTGGATGGGAATCTCGCGGGCAGGGGGCCGCGCATTGTGCCCTTTCCGGCCAGTTGGTCTGAAGCCCCCGCAGAACTCGGCTCGGGGATTTTTAAGGGTCCTAGGGATGGGGGAGGATGGCTCGGCGCTGTTCCATTTCCATGCTTTTCCAGCGGGCAGATGTTATCACAGATTTGCTACGTCAGAACCACGGTGTTTTAGAAAACCAAAATATTTATTTGCCAAGACCTTTTGGCAGGTGCGATTGTGTTGGGTAGGATTGCCTAGAAAATGCTGGCAAAAGCTGTCACATTCTTTATCGAAAAATACTAGCTTTTATTGCGTCTCCAGAATATTTTCATTTTTGATGTAGTCCTGTGGTTTCAATTCCCTTTCAAATTCTAGATTTTAAATGTGGCCAAGAGAGAATTTAAGAGAGAATTATACTTCCTTTCTAAATTATTAGCTGTTTTTTCTACTTAATATTTATAAGGAGCTCTGGTGGTGCAGTGTTTAAGCATTTGGCTGCTCAGCCGTTAAAGGAGAGATTGACCGTTTGTATCCACCAGCTGCTCTTAGGGAGGAAAAACCTGGTGATCTGCTCCCACAAAGATTACAGCCTAGGAAACTGTGGGGCAGTTATACTGTCATAGGGGTTACTAAGGAGCTCTGGTGGCGTAGTGCCTAAGGCATTTGTTTGCTAACCAGAAGGTTGGCGGTTCAAACCCACCAGCCACTCCATTAAGGAAGACTGGGTGATTTACTTCTGTAAAGATTTACTGCTTGGGAAACCCAGTGGGGGTTACTATGAGTTAGAAATGACTTGATGGCAGTGAGTTTGGTTTGGTTTTTATGGGGTTATTATGGATTGGAATTGGGGCCAGGACATACAGTATTTTTCTGTTTTTAAAATCACAGCTTTACCATTGTAAGAATCCTCCCATGGTTCATTGATTCATTCAAAAAGTATCAAGTGCCTAACTTGTGCCTAAGGTGTGCCTGACCCAAGCCATGGTATTTTCAGTCTCCTCATAAGCATGCGAAAGCTGGGCAATGAATAAGGAAGACTAAGACTAGAGAGTTGATGTCTTTGAATTACGGTGTTGGCAAAGAATATTGAGTAAACCATGGACTGCCAGAAGAAGGAACATACTGTCTTGGAAGAAGTACAGTCAGAATGCTCCTTAGAAGTGAGATTGGCCAGATTTGGTCTCACCTACCTTGGACAAGTTATCAGGAGGGACCAGTTCCTGAAAAAGTACATCATGCTTGGTAAAGTAGAGGATGAGGCAAAGAGAGGAAAACCCTCACGGAGTTGGATTGACACAGTGGCTGAAACAATGGGCTCAAGCATAGTAACAATTACGAGCATGGTGTAAGACTGGGCAGCATCTCATTCTGTTGTGCTTAGGATGGCTGCGAGTCAGAACTCACTCTCTGGCACCTTACACAACATGTGCTAGGCACTGTCCAAGCTGGAGAGGATGCAGCAGTGAACAGACAGAAATTCCAGCCTTCTTCAAAATGGGCAATAAGCAACATAAGATAGATATTGCATTAGATGAAAAATGATAAGAAAAAAAATTAAGGAGGGACAGGGATAGGAAATGTTGGAGTGGAGATAGTAATTTTAGAGGGACTGTTCAGATAAAGTTTCCTTAAGAAGATTTGTGAAGACTTCAAGGATGTGAGCTTAGTGTGAAGGAGAAAGTGCCTGGTTCAGACAGAGGGAAAAGTACCAAGGCTGGAACATGCCAGGATTGATAGAGGATCAGCAATGAGGCTAATGTGGCTATAATCAACCATAAAATTAGGAGATACTGTCAGAGGAGGAGCCCTGGTTGTGCAGTGGTTAAGCACTAGGCTGCTAACCAAAAGGTCAGTGATTTGAACCCACCAGCCAGTGTGCAGGAGAGAGATGTGACAGTCTGCTTCTGTAAAGATTTACAGCCTCTTGGAAACCATTTAAGGCAGTTCTACTCTGTCTTATAGGACCATGATGAGTCAGAACCAACTTGACTGTGATAGGTTGGGTGAGAGAGGAGAGGTCCCTGGAGGATACGAATGATTTGTGCTTATCTACTAACCGAAAAGTTGCTGGTTCGAATCCATACACTTTTGCAAAATTACAGCCATTGAATGAAAATCCTATGGAGTTCAGTTCTATTCTCACATTCATAGGGTGGTCTTGAGTCAGAATCAGCTTGGGTTTTTTGTTTTCCAGTCAGAGAGGTGGTGATTCTTATAAGGACTTTGTGTTTTCACTCTTCTTATGATTGGAAAAGAAGCTCTGGTGGCACAATGGTTAAGTCATTTGGCTGCTAACCAAAAGGTCGGCAGTTTGAACCCATCAGCTGTTCTGCTGGAGAAAGATGAGACAGTCTGTTTCCATAGAGATTTACAGCCCTGGAAACCCTATGAAGCAGTTTCTACTCTGTCCTAAAGGGTCACTTTGATGAATCAGAATCAACTTGATGGCACTAGGTTATGATCAGAAAACATTGGAAGGTTTTGAGCAGAAGAGTGTCTGATTTACATTTTAAAAGAACCTCTGTGCTCCTTTGAGGCCAAGATGAAGGGAGCAAAGGGTGGAAGGAAGTAGGGAGACTTCTTAGGAGTTTATATTCGTTTCCAATTCCTTATGTAACAAATCACCACAAATTTCCTGGCTTAAACCAACACCAATTTATTATTCTAAAGTTCTATAGATCTGAAATTTCACTAGGCTAAAACCACGGTGTCCTTCTGGAGGCTCTAGGGGAGAATACATTTCCTTATTTTTTTCTAGCTTCCAGAAGGCAACCTACCTTCCTTGGCCAAAATCCTATCCTTCATCTTTAAAGCCAGCAGTGAAGCATCTTCACATTTCTCTGTCTTGACTCTGACACTTTTCCCTCTCTCTTATAAAGACCCATGTGATGACATTGTGCTCACTTGAATAATCTAGGATAATCTTCCTATCTTGAGACCCTTAATCTCATCATACTTGCAAAGTCCTTTTCACCACTGCAAAAAAGATGTGGGGGTGGCATCTTCTGACTTCGTCTAAGTTCACAAGGGGGAGAGAGAAGCACCATCAGCAGCCAAAAGTTTATTCCTATGAGGCCAGACGTGCTGCCATCCTACAGCTTTTTTTTTTTACCAATTCTGACACCAGCCATCCCTCCCGGGCACTCACTACTTCTCTGCTGGGTTTGAGAATTCGTTGCAGTGGCCACATAGACCTTACAGACAATATTTATGAGTATGGGGTTTATTAGGGAAGTAACAGACTACAACTCAGGTTCCGGAACGCTCTCAGGATACAATTCTTCAATCAGGACAGTCTCCTCTCTCCTATGAAAGAATGCTAAGCTGACTCTGCTTGTAACATTTTATTTTGTATGGTATTGGTTTGCATAAACGTTTTTTCAATTGATGCTTATATATGTAAATTTTATTCATACATGGATAAGTAAACTATTGCATACCTTACATATGTTACATGTTTACATTAATAAATACAGAGTAAAGACGTTTTCCCCATGTGATGCTAATTTTGAGATTAGATTCACAGCATCTCTCCTATGATGTTAATATTGTGTCAGTATTAATATTTTTCTAGTACATAAAATAGAAGTGTTTTACTTATGAAAGTAGAATATTGTCCCTATGTGCCATTCATTCACTTCTGGCTCATAGCAACCCTCTGTACAACAAAATGAAACACTGCCGGGCCCTGTGCCATTCTCCCAGTTGTTATGTTTGAACCCCTTGTTGCAGCCACTGTGTCAATCCATCTTGTTGAGGGTCTTCTTTATCCCTGACCCTCTACTTTACCCATCATGATGTCCTTCTCCAGGGACTGGTCCCTCTTGATAACATGTCCAAAGCATGTGTGACAAAGTCTTGCCATCCTCTCACTTCTAAGAAGCATTCTGGCTGTACTTCTTCCAAGAAAGATTTGTTCCTTCTTCTGGCAGTCCACAGTATATTCAATATTTTTTGCCAATATCATAACTCAAAAGGATCAATTCTTCTTAGTCCTCGAAATGGCCAGCTTAAATTGACAATAGAAGTACAAACAGTTTGGGGGAGTTGTTTCTAATGTTTCTTCAAAAAGAATATTCACCAAGCTGTGCTTTCCACAGAAATGGACCAGATCATGTATTTATTCTTTAGCAACATTATTGATTAGCCGGAAATGAAAGCAATACGTATTTAGGACTGCACTGGATCTTTCCTTTTAAGCACATTTCTCTTAGTCCTTTACATTAAAAACCCAAAACTCATTGCTTGGAGCCAATTCTAACTCATAGTGACCTTCTCAGGCAGAGTAGATCTGCCCCCATAGAGTTTCTAAGTCTGTAATCACAGTGGCTGCAGCGATGGGCTCAAGTATAGCAAGGATTGTGAGGCTGGCTCAGGACTGGGCAGTGTTTCGTTCTGTTGTACATAACAGTCACTATGAGTCAGGCTGACTTGGCGGCATCTAACAACAAAAGTCTTCACAAGAGCAGACTGCCTCATCTTTCTCCCATGGAGTAGTTGGTAAGC